TTCTTTAGGGCTTAAATGTTGTATAAATAATGTTGGTACTGTTGCTCACACCATTTGTGTTCTCATAAAAAAGCATACACAATATAAATGAATAACTGCCATCCAGTACAAATGTTACTAGTGATAAATCATAAAATCATATACCGTGCGCTACTGAAAAAACATAATTTGAATCCCAACTATATAAAAAAAAAAAATAAACATGGGTATATCATATGCGTTTATAGTAAAACAATATATCTTGAAAAATCAACATTCACTGTGACAAAACAAAAAAGAGTCCCAAGTGTTCTTATACGCTCATAGATATCCTTCTTCTGCAATCATCCAACCATGTCATCTAATACTTTTTCACTATGCATTAATAATACTCCATTTTATATAGTCACCATGTGCTGATATCCCTTCACCAGCAATAATATGCTCTTACCTTTGTAATAGACCTCACAAGTAGGTGTAATGCGCTGGCCCCTTGTAGCGGGGTACCTTATACCAGAGATTTGATGGCTTTCTCCAATCCACTGGTTCTTCTCAATTCATCTCCATTCTTTGCAATCCTTGGGTGGATATTGGTAATACACTTGAAATAAAGGAGGAATATAGTGCTCTTGGAATAAAAACTGCAATTTATTGTTAAAGATAGATTACACTCAAGTTTTTTTGGTGCACAAATCTGGTGCACACAGTATACAGGCATGTATTGTTGAAACAAACCAACAAAATGGCTGACTGTATACTTCCGGTTTGTGTGGCATCACTGGCTCCTCCTAACGCGTTATATCATTGGATCATGTGACTTCATCAAAAAATGAGCGCATTGGGAGGAGCCTGCGATGACAAACCGGAAGTGTACGGTCTGCCATTTTGGCACTTCATCAGGGGATGATTGGAAGGATATCTATGAGAATATATGAACACTTGGGACTCTTTATTTTGTCACAGTGAATGTTACTTTTTCAAGGTATATTGTTTACTATAAATGCATATGATATACGCATTTTTATTATTATTTTTCTTCGATAGTTGGTTTTCGAATTCTGTTTTTTCAGTAGCGCACCGTATATGATTTTATGATTTATCACAAGTAATATTTGTACTGCGTGCTCTTATATTTAGTATTTCTAGATCTGTAAGGTTCCTGTTTTCAACTGCTCTTTTGCAGAAGTTGAAACATGTAAATAAACCTCAGGAATGTGGATATGTGGCTCATTAGCAGTCTTCTGCAGTAAATGAATGTGAAAACGGACTTTAAATGGAGCAAAGTTCCCTTATCAAAATAATTGAATTGCAGACTCTTTCATGTTGACTGTGTGATTTAATATGCATTCTGTAGAGCATCAGAATGGAAAAATGGAGTGAGGGTGAACTGTGAACATATGAGCAGAAGCAGAGTCTAAAGAATGTTTATGTAAGAAGAGACTGGTAGTACAGTACACGCATGATAACAGGCATTGGGAGGGCAATCAGGGAAATGGTTAGGGGAGATGATGACATAGACAGATATGAACTTCCAGCAAGTAAACTGCAGACACAATACTGAAGGTGAAGGACAGACAATGTGACATCGACATTTATGAAAACTGGTATACAGAAATGTGTGGCTTGTAGCAACTTCTCATAAATATTATTTTGTTCTTGATATTGGAGTAACTGCTTCTTTAATTGTCTCATGCTATGCACCAAGTTTCCTGAAGGTCTTATGGTGAAATACATTTTATTGCCTCAGTAATACTGTTAATAACATTTACACGAATGTATGTAAATGACTGAATTCACTATTACTGTAGATCAAAAACTAATCACTATAATCTCATATTTCAAATGTAATTTTCAATCTTTTTAAAACTGTAGCTTTTTTAAAAATACCTGGTAATACTGCCATGAAAATCCTTCTCAGGCACTTTCTAAGATGGGGTGACAATGCTCTGTCCTTAAGGGAGAATGTCACCAGCACACCGAGGATCACCAATATGGGTCCTTTGCATGATATCACAGCCTGATGAAGGGGTCCTGCGAGACTCCGAAACGTTGCCTTGCTGTAACTATGTGATCAGTCATTAAAACTTTTGGACCCATATTGGTGATCTTTGGTGTGCTGGTGACATTCTCTCTTGCTGATTCTGTTCAGTTCCAGCCGACAGTCACTGCAGCATCCACTTATACACAAAGACATTTTCAACACAGGAATGTGTGCGTTTGGATTGTACACTTGAATGCTCTGTCCTTGTCTCCCTATGGTGCATTGCTCTCCATTTACATGCTCCCCTGATTAAAAACAGCCATGCCAGCACACATTTTTTAAGCCTCCTGCACATGGAAGCCTAAAAACGCCAAGTTGTTTGGCATTCAGGCTTTTTTTACTGATCTAAATGCAGGCTATTGTTGTTAATAGGCCTGTACACACAGGCAGGTAAATGTGAACTGCATATAAATCATTAAAAAGAAAATACAAAAATCTACATGTTCAGTATTTTTATGCATGTACTGTATATATGCTTATACATGCATATGCCACACTCCTTTAATAAAAAAAAGACAGCTAGAAGAATTTGTGCACATGTACATGCAAGTGCTATACAGCCTATCCTCACATTTTCTGACAAGAATATCTGATATTCATACACCAGTACTGTGTGCATATACTCTTAGGAATGACCGATCATTGCCACTATCAGGAAGTTGGTCCAGAACTGTAATCTGCAACTGACACTAGAGCAAATGCATATAGACAGGAAGTGGCTGAAATAAACTGGGCAAGATCAGCAGCAATGAGGTGCAAATAGGGATGAAAAAAGTAAAAAAAACATTAAAAAAAATAAAAGGCAATTGTTTATGATGCACAGTGCTTTAGCAAACCAAAATCATTCAGTTTACATCTACTCTACATGAAGCAATCCAATTGAACTGAGACTCTCCAAAGTGTAATTCAGCCTTAATGTCTAAAAGGATATGTTATGTCAAGTCTGGTTTTTTTTTATGCAACATTATTGATCAGCGCCCCCAATCTCCCAAAATGTTGCACATTTTTCCATATTACCCTGAAGTTTATCTTTTCAGGGGGGTTGTGAATCACACATTCTCATCTGCTGTATAGTATAGCCAGTCCCCACCCTGGTGGATATTCCTAGGAGTATATAGAGGATTCAACAAGAAACTAGTGTTACCCAGCACAAATAGGAAACTGCAGTTGTACATTACATGCATAAAGCAGACAAAGTTTGTCAGGACTGCAGCAGGATTTTGGATTGTTTTTACAGGCTAAAAGGAGATCAGAATTTCAGGAGCTGACCCAGCCTTGAAATATAACTAAAGATAAAACGTTTTGTTTTTTTTTATTTTGAATAGAGTGGAGGTGGATTAGAACACCTGTTAATTTTTTTTTGCTGTCTGTACCCCTGCCCTGTCTGTTAGGGAGATTAATTTCTCTATTTATCCTGTTTACCATTATCATCAAAAGTGAAAGCAAGTGAAAATCCCAGATTTTGGGTTGTTTCCAGAACAGGAACAGAGGGGAAATCTTCCAATGGGGACACTAGTTCTGGTGACCTGGGAGGGGGGGGGGGCCTGACAGTCCAGTTAAAATCTAACTAAGCTTAAACCTGCTCACCACCCCCATTCTAAGCTCTTTACTTCCTACTATAAAGGAGTGATGTGTATACTTACCTAATCTAAGGGCATTCCAATCCTGACACTTAATCTCCCCAGCGGTAGACTTCAGGGGAGAGAAGAGAGTAGCAAAAATGGCTGCAGAGCCTGGGCAGTGACATCACCCATAGACTTACTAAAGGGCAACCGTTGTTCACTGTCCCTCCTTTACCCTGAGGCCAGCACTGGGAGCCGAACACATGACCAGATCGGAGCCCCCTTAGATCAGGTAAGTATTAGCATCTTTCCTTTACAGGGTAGTTAGTATAGGGCTTAGAATGGGAGTGGGAACAGGTTTCAGCTTAGTTAGGTTTTGACTTGACATACACTTTAATTTACAGGGATTTCCTCTCACTTCCTTTTTTGGCTATAGGACAGGAAGCTAAGACAAATCTCCCCAATGGGACACAGATGGCGAAAAAAAAACTGATAGAGGTTATAACCCTTCTTTATTCTATCTAAAATGAAAAAGAAGGTTTGCCTATAGTTCTACTTGAAGTAATTAGATTTCAGTAGACATACTTTGTTAAACTGTGTATCAACAGCAGTGCATGTTCCTGAATTGTAGAAAATTCTATGGTAATGCTCTCCATACTTAAACAATTAGAAAAAAAACAGTAGTAAGAAATGAAAATAAATCAGTAGCAAGAAACAACATTTTTATGTTTGCTATGCATATGCTCTGGACCAGAGAGTTATGCCTTGTGTTTTTAGGTAATATTAAAATTTAGTAGCTTCTTCGTGTTTCACTTTTGTCCTGATAAAATAAAAAAAGCTGAGATTTGCTATAAGCTATCCCCAAAAAATCAGAAATTACGTTTTAGAAGCTGTTTTTGCTATTGTTTGTAAGAAGTCATTTTATTGTCTTTGTGCTGTGTATTTACTGTTGTCAGCATTGGTGTGTGGGAAGAATTGTTTTCCCCAAGTGCTGTGGGTGGACATGTCAAGTATGTGCCCGGAGACAAGGTGGCATTAGAACAATCTCTGCCTTTCTTTCTCTGTCTCTAGCTTTATCTGCAAGCTGCCAGATAGATCCACTACTATAATAGCCATCTCCCCAGAGTCCCAGCAGGCTGACACTGACAACATATCTGGGGACACATTGAAGTAACTTGTTGATTTTATGTTGAATGACATTTTTTTTAATTCTTCAATTACATTTTTTTTTCTACTGGCACCCTGCATATAACAGGATCATGTATTATTTCATCATGAGGGACCCTGTTTTCTCTGTGTTATGTGAGAGAATGGGATTAATTTAGCATTCAGTGGAAATAGACTTAGTTTATATAAACTGGATAAAATATTGCATGTTTTTTACTTTGATTCAATTTTATGTTAAAATATTTTATTAGGGATGGCGTGCCGTTAAATCCAGAGCTTCTGCAGAATCAGCCTCACATTACAGAGCTTTTCATAGACCTGATGTGTCATTATGATCCTGGCCATGTGACTTCAATGCTGCAGATCCTGGAGCATTACAGATTAGAAGAGACCATTCAGGTGAGAATACAGTGCTATTTTGCATTTTTTTTAAAGGAAGGAGCATAAGCAAAGGTGTTACATCATCAACCATGCCATAAGTGTTGTGACAGCCAGCATATTTTAGCAGTGACCATAAAGTTTTATTTTAGGGAGAAAGAAATGAGAGTAGAGTTTTCCACTGTAGTTGACTTAGCTCACTATACTGAAGTCCAGTCATTCAAAATAGTTCCCACAGATACCAATGGATTTTCACCAATGCTAGGAATGTTGCAAATGAAATCTAAAAATGTAGGTCTTGGTCATTATAAATTCGCATACCCTTGGTAGTTGGGGAGATCCCTCAATGTTCTTACACAGAATAGGATGCGAGGAAACACAGAATTAAAGTTTAACCTTGAAATTGTCTTTAAATAATTGACTCAACCTTATTGGAAATGTTTTAGATGAAACAATACAGAAAGATGAAAAAACATAGTATGTAGGCTTCATGTGGAGTTTGGTGGACTAAAACTTGAAACCCTCTCCTCTGATGTCACATCTGGTTCATAAAAGAAAGGTGTAGTTTCGGGCGGTCTTCTTGAACCTCCCTTTCATAAGGGTCTATAAATTCTAAAACTAATAAGGAAAGTATCTTGGTTTAAGCTTGGCCATACACCAATATATGTCTTTCGTTCAGCCTGCAAAAAATATCTAACAGATTTCTCCATCCACACCAACCTCCATTTGAGGAGCCAGCAGTGCCACCCACTGTTAGGTTACTCTTAACAGTGTATGGCCAGCTTTAAAAGAAAAGTCAAATCTTTTGTCAAAATAATGAATGTTCCTCTTGTGTGTGGTCAAGTAAAAACCCATTATCTCCTATGTTGCTGGTTCACATGAGGTGCATGTGAGGACTGAATCTCTATGTGCCCATTCACACCTAATTATGTGTGTTGCTATGTGCGCTGCATGCACATGGAGCAGTGTAAAATCAACCTAAAAATGAAATAAAGTATTTCTAAAAAACAGCAGCTTCCGTATTCTGGACACCCAGGCTCCTAAAATTTATAGATATTAATAGAAGACTTGACCAGGATCAGGATCCAGTCAGCATCAAGATCACTTGCTCAGTGTATAAGTATTTGGTCATGACAACAGCTGTTGTGTTACCCAAAACTGGGGTTTCCACTACTCTGATAAGATTTTCAAGGCTTCTTTCAACATCTGTGATATTAATTTAGTAGTGTGGGCAGGAGATTGGGTGTTCTTCACTGTATATACTGTAGCTCTGCTATGTGTTTTGGTAAAGGGACAGTTTAACAGCATATCATTTTGCTTTTATAGATTGCACAAAAGCATAATAACCATGAAACCTTGGCTTACCTCTTGGAGAAAAAGGGAGATATCCAGGCAGCTTTTGATGTTATGCTTACGGTAAAATCTGTGATCTTTTTTTCCTTTAACTATATAACACAATGCTGGAACATGTTCCTCAAATATACCGCTAAAACAGACACTGGTTCAAATTTACATGTAGCAGGATAAAACACTTTGACTCTTGCAACTGTTACTGCAGTGACTAGGGTTAGCATTTTGCCTTCAAGTAGAACTTCACTCTCTCAGACAACACTGACTATTTGTAATACCTATGATGCTATCATTAGTATATAGATAGGAAAGTATATCATATTTACTTGTGTCAAACGTATTTTACATTTCTTCAGTTACTTCCTGGTTTCCATGCCTAATCAAATGATGTCATATATCCCAAGAGTCTTCAGGAGGGGAGGAGTGGTTTTCTTAGCTAAGTAAACCCTCCTGCCCGCATGCCTGAGCTAAGGGCAGATCAATTCCAGGAAGTAAATGCTACATGAATTATCTGCTCTTACTCAAGATGGCCATGGCCAGAATTGCTAGGGGGTGTTTTTCAGTGTGATTTCTTAGCAAAATGAAGAAAGAAGCCATGGGTGGATGGGTGCGTTTGCTTTGAATAATAAAAATGAATTAAACAGCATTTTTGGTTTGTGGTGCTCAGATGCAGTGAAGTTGCGCTTTAAGGATGATCAGCAAAAGCAGGGGCATATCATGAAATCAGTGGGCCCATGTGCAAGATCAAAAGTGGGCCCTAGGCATTGATAAAACTAAAAATGAAGCGTGAGAAACGTGGGCGTGGTTTAAATTGCGCTAAATATTGGGCATGACTTAAAGGGGATGTGGTTAAATAGAGTTTGAAGTGACTTACATAGTGCAGAATGTGGTAATATTAAATAGGTAATGTAAAATGCAAAGTGTACAGCGGTGGGTAGCAGTTTTGTTATTTGTATTTATTTTTTTTACAATAATATTTGTTTACAAATAATTTAAATATTTATTACAATTGTTTTATCAACTCTGTTGGAGGGCTTTTGTGAGATATCAGGGGTCTAAACAGACCAATGACATATCCCCTTTTAAACAGAGAAAGGGACTGCACTGAAGATGAATGAACAGGAGACAGAGACTTCTGTTCATTCATAAACTAAAGCATCGTAAATACAGTTGGATGAACAGAGTCAGTAATAGGTACCGATCACTGACTGCTCATTCACAAAAGGAAAGGGCCAGTAAATGACATGTTTACTGGCCCCTTCCTCCACTCTCCATCCTGACAGATTAGGCCCGGGGGGACTCGAGCAGCACACAGGGTGGCCCAGAGAGGGAAGTAAACGATCCCATGAACAGTTGGGGGGTGATTGGTGTGGTGGTGGCAGATACAAGCACTGATCTCCCTGTATGGCTTTCAGTGAAACAGCTAAAATCTCTGGGAGGGAGAGGAGGAGAAGTCGCTTTCAGCTACTTATTTATTTTTTATTTATTTTAGGTATTTATATAGCGCCATCAATTTATGCAGCGCTTTACATATATACAGTGGGGATCGAAAGTTTGGGCACCCCAGCTAAAAATTTGTATTAATGTGCATAAAGAAGCCAAGGAAAGATGGAAAAATCTCCAAAAGGCATCAAATTACAGATTAGACATTCTTATACTATGTCAACAAAAGTTAGAGTAATACAAATTTTTAGCTGGGGTGCCCAAACTTTCGATCCCCACTGTATATTGTACATTCACATCAGTCCCTAACCCTCAAGGGGCGGGAGTGTGGGAGGAAACCAGAGTACCTGGAGGAAACCCATGCAGGCACAGAGAGAACATGCAAACTCCAGGCAGGTGGTGCCGTGGTTGGGGTTCGAACCGATGACCCTAGTACTGCCAGGCGGAAGTACTAACCACTTAGCCACAGTGCTGCACACATACTTCATAGAAAACCATACAGGGTGAGCGGTGCTTTTAACTTCCCCCACCACCGCCGTACTGGTCACTCCCAACTATCAAATTTCACCTGCTGCAGAAGGTACCAACCAGGGACGAACCATCCATGGGTGCAGTGTGGGTCAGAGCACGATGCCCAGCCCCCCCCCCCTTCCCGGGGCCCATGTGCAGTGAACACCTTGCACCCATGGATGATATGCCACCGAACAAAAGTGATTATTTTGGGTGAAGATATTTTATAGCTGGCCTTTTTATACCATGTTTCCTGTCCTAATGTTTGACCTCTTCCAGGGGTGCCTGATTTTTTTTGATTGAAAAAATGTACATACAAATTGATCTTCATACAAATGCTATGGTTTGTATATGTGTAACTATAGTTTATAACAGGATTTTGTTTCTCTCTTGTGTCCAGAGGCTGCAGGAGAGACTTTCAGCACTAACTACAGATGTTGTTGATGGAGGTGGTAAGACTTACTCGTATACCATGTTATGCAACAAATATGAAAAATTAGGGTATTTGCTTCCCTTCTTAGGGCTCATTCAAACAGGCATGTAAAACACCCCGTTTAGCTGCATACAACATATAATTTTGTACACAGCACTGTAGAAATCAATGAGGTACTATAGGAACTGGTTGCTGGTGTGATTTCTATATTGTCAGCACCTGCTAATTGATAGAGGTGAGTTTAATTACAAATTACAGGAGCATCACAAACTTGGAATGCAATTATTTGTCTTACAATCTTGAGGAGGTTCCAATAATTTTGTCCAGTCCATTTTTGGAGTTTTGTGTGGAATGTGTCAGATCTGACTTTTTGTTTCTCCACTTTTTTGGGTCATACCAATGCAAACAAAATAAACACGAGAATGCCTAAACATTTGTAATTTGCAACAATTTTCTGGGTGAAGTGGTGCGTTATCTGACAGAAATGCAGGGGTGCCCTGAATGCCCTGTCATGGTTGGTGGGGTGTAGCACCTTCCAAGCATGACCTATTCAAGTGAATGAGTCCGCTCTGCAAGTGACTTGCAACCTTGTGCAGTTTAAAGCAGGCAGCGTTGTAAATGGGAGGTATAAGTGAGCGAATGGGTTGTAAAGATGCTGGCATTAAAGGTGAAACCTCTTACCCTCTAAACAATCATATATACAAAAATGTAGCGCTTGAGAGAAGAACAATATAAATCTAACGTGGGCGCTAAAAGTGATTATACAGTAATGCAAATGGTGAACCATCATAAAATGACGCATGTGAATGATATAATCAATAATAAAAAAATATAAAGTGACTGAAGTGCGTAATAAATAATGACATGGAATCAACTACGTAAAAAAGTCCAAAAAAAGTGATCCGTGCTGGTAATATCCATGATGCAGACCGATAATGTGATTGCACTCACCAGAAGCGCAAAAAGTATGCTCATAAGTATACAGTCATGGCCGAAATTGTTGGCACCCTTGATATTTCTCCAGGAAATCATGTATTTCTCACGAAACGTATTGCATTAACACATGTTTTGCTATACACATGTTTATTCCCTTTGTGTGTATTGGGACAAAACAAAAAAAGGGAGGAAAGAAAGCAAATTCGACATAATGTCACACAAACCTCCAAAAATGGGCTGGACAAAAGTATTGGCACCCTTTCACAACTGCGGATAAATAAGAATGTTACAAGCATGTGATGCTCCTGTAAACTCACCTGGGGCAAGTAACAGGTGTGGGCAATATAGAAATCACACCTGAAAGCAGATAAAAAGGAGAGACGTTCACTTAACCTTTGCATTGTGTGTCTGTCTGTGCCACACTAAGCATGGACAACAGAAAGAGGAGACGAGAACTGTCTGAGGACCTGAGAACCAAAATTGTGGCAAAATATCAACAATCTCAAGGTTACAAGTCCATCTCCAGAGAACTAGATTTGCCTTTGTCCACAGTGCGCAACATTATCAAGAAGTTTGCAACCCATGGCACTGTAGCTAATCTCCCTGGTCGTGGACGGATGAGGAAAATTGATGAAAGATTGCAACGCAGAATAGTCCGGATGGTGGATAAGCAGCCCCAAACATGTTCCAAAGACATTCAAGCTGTCCTGCAGGCTCAGGGAGCATCAGTGTCAGCGCGAACTATCCGTCGACATTTAAATGAAATGAAACGCTATGGCAGGAGACCCAGGAGGACCCCACTGCTGACACAGAGACATAAAAAAGCAAGACTACAGTTTGCCAAAATGTACTTGAGTAAGCCAAAAGCCTTCTGGGAAAACGTCTTGTGGACAGATGAGACCAAGATAGAGCTTTTCGGTAAAAAGCACATCATTCTACTGTTTACCGAAAACGGAATGAGGCCTACAAAGAACAAAACACAGTACCTACGGTAAAATATGGTGGAGGTTCAATGATGTTTTGGGGTTGTTTTGCTGCCTCTGGCACTGGGTGCCTTGACTGTGTGCAAGGCATCATGAAATCTGAGGATTACCAAAGGATTTTGGGTCGCACTGTAGGGCCCAGTGTCAGAAAGCTGGGTTTGCGTCCAAGATCCTGGGTCTTCCAGCAGGACAATGACCCCAAACATACGTCAAAAAGCACTCAGAAAATGGGATGGCAAAGAAGCGCTGGAGAGTTCTGAAGTGGCCAGCAATGAGCCCAGATCTAAATCCCATTGAACACCTGTGGAGAGATCTTAAAATTGCTGTTGGGAAAAGGTGTCCTTCCAATAAGAGAGACCTGGAGCTGTTTGCAAAGGAAGAGTGGTCCAAATTCCGGGTGAGAGGTGTCAGAAGCTTATTGATGGTTATAGGAAGCGACTGATTTCAGTTATGTTTTCCAAAGGGTGTGCAACCAAATATTAAGTTTAAGGGTGCCAATACTTTTGTCCAGCCCATTTTTGGGGTTTTGTGTGACATTATGTCATATTTGCTTTTCTGCCTCTGTTTTATATTTGTTCCAATACATACAAAGGGAAATAAACATGTGTATAGCAAAACATGTGTTAATGCAATACCTTTTTTGTGTGAAATACTTGATTTTCAGGAAAAATATCAAGGGTGCCAACAATTTCGGCCATGACTGTATATTATCCCAATGTGGTCATCATGGTATAGGCAAGAATGGTGGAATTATCTGGCACACCGTAAGCACACAAGGTAACTCCAATCTCACTCACAGGACCCTCTCAGCATCCAGGGACAGCTCCTGGTAAGCATCAGACCACCGGATAAACGTCCTCACAGAAATCGGGATCTCTCCACCTTGGAGGATTAAGAATAGTTAAAATGGCCGCGGCCTTCTATGCGGCCGTCTGCGGCGTGACGTCACTATTACAGGCTCCTCTCTGACGCGTTTTTGTGCCCGAGCACATTATCGAAGGGATGTGCCCGCCATCTGATGTCTGCGGCTTATATAGTCTCGCGCGCATGCGTGGACAAACGCCATATATTAGCGTACCACGCATGCACGAGCGGGAGGGACTCACCGTGTTGCTTTCTCACCACCTGCTTTAACCCCACAGAAGCATGAAGTCGCAGGGAGCTTGCAGAGTGACCCCATTTACTTGGTTGAACTGGGATGGACTTTTGTCTTTCAGCCAAACTATGTAACTTGAATGGGTTGCAATTGGCACAACAGTAGCACCCAGAAGCAACGGGGGTTAATTCCTGCTATGGCATATGTACACCTTTGACTGCTGCCTCACCAACCAAAGGGGGTAGGGATTGAGGACAGTAAAACAGCGACTTAACCAAAGAGTTTTACAACCCCCCATTTTACGCCCTAAGGGTGCCGCTACCGAATGCAGCTAAGGGCTTACGTACAAATGCAGCAGGCATTGCTGCTCCTCTGAAAAGCTATCCGAGTGTGTCTGACAGGTGTTGAGGAGACAATATGTTGCTTCCTCACCACCTGATTTAAACTCATGATTGTCGTGCAGTGTACAGATTTAAATTGGAACATCACTCTCTTAACCATTTCCCGTCCGGCCCATGTACATAAACGGCCAGACGGGAGCAGTGCAGGAGCGGGTGGCCGTTGATAAACATCCTCCCGCATTCCCTGCATGTGCACACTCCTTGGGAGCATGCGGCACCACGATCCGGTGCCCGCTGTATCCTCCGGACACAGCAGAACACCGATCGCTGTACGGGACCTCTGTGTGAGGTCCGATCATGTGATCGCATGAATAGTAGTAAGCAAGATGTCACTTGCTGACATCATTACTTACTACTAGTGAAATCTGTGAATGATCAGAGATGTCACATGGTACAAGGCTATTCACAACAGCCTTGTACCATGTGACAAGCCGTGACCAATCACAGCTCTCACGGTATTTCTGAATGGCTGCATGAATGCAGCCAGGGAGAATGAGAAATGATTGCTTTTACAGCCTTTATGGGTGTAAAAGCGATCAGTGTAAAAAAAAATAAAAAATCTTCATCACCCCCCTCACTATGATGACACTGTACTGCTAGGGTGACAGTATGTTAAAAAAAAAAACATAAATAATAAAGTTTGAAAAATTATAATTTTTGGTTATAAACTAATTTTTTTTTTTTTACTAAAAAGATAGCTGAATACATTTTGGCCAGGATTTATGAAGAAAGATTATTTATTTGCAAAATTTTATATGAAAACACTTTTTTTCAAAATGTTTGGATTTTTTCATTTATGTAGCAAAAAAATAAAAATCCCAGTTGTGAATAAATACCACCAAAATAAAGTTTTATCTGTCTCAAAAAAATGCAAAACAATTCATATGGATACAGTGTTGCATGCCCGCGCAATTGCCATTCAAACTGGGATAGCACTGAAAATTGGCCTGGACAGGAAGGGGGTAAAAGTGTCCGGACTTGAAGTGGTTAATCAACATTGAAGATTTAGAATCAATATGCTGCTAGCATTAGTAAATCGAAAAGTAGATTATAATTACTTGTTTTAAAGTGCTTATTGCATTTCTTTAGTTACTTCCTGGTTTCCAGGCATAGGCAAATGATGTCATACATTCCAAGAGTCTTCAGGAGTGGAGGAGGGACATTCTCAGCTAAGCACACCCTCTTGCCTGCATAAATGAGCTAAGGGCAGATGGATTCCAGGAAGTAAATGCTAAATGAATCATCTGCCCTTACTCAAGATGGCCACAGCCAGAAATGCTAGGGGGGTGTTTTTCTAAGTGATTTCTCTGCAAAATAAAGCATGGAGAAATTGATGAATGGGGAATTTTATTTGAATATTAAAATTTTTATAAATAATGCTTTGAGTTTGTGGTGCTCAGATACAGTGTAGTTCTGCTTTAAATTGAGGACAGAAATTCTGGATCCTCTGGACCCAAAGTAACTTCCATTTGCACACACATCTCCTCACACTTAGCGGACACTGTCTTTCAGCTACACATGGCGGACATATGGCGTCTTTTCTACCTGATAGATAGGGAATTCACCTACTACTCACCCCCCACATGACACTATGTCCCATATTGACTATGTATTTTGCTCCTCTTCTCTTTTACCTATGGTGAGAATCTCAGAGATCTTGGAAATGGCCATCTCGGACCACAGCCCAGTTGTGGTTACGCTTAACGATCTCCAGCTTAGCGGTACTCCACCCCCTCGGAGATTTCCCTCCTACCTCGCGGACAACGAAGACTTTCGTCATATGTTACTCAATGCTTTAAATGACTATGCTCTCACCAATGCTGAACATACCACTGATCCCATTTTATTTTGGGAAACGGCCAAGGCGGTCCTGTGGGGCAAAATCATATCCTATGTTTCTCAGTACAAACGGCACTCCTTGGACCAGTTTTGCTTGGCTACCTCATCCCTTTGTAAAGCCCAATTAGACCTTGGCCTAAATAGATCCCCAGCGACAAAACAGAAATGGCAGGAAGCTAAGAGAAATTTTGAGCTATGGGTTGAACAAAGGGAACGCATCAAAACATCTTATCGCTCCTTACAATTCCATAAGTATGGCAATAAAGCCAGAAAACTTCTGGCCAACTTTTGTCGAGACCCCTATGCTCCTACCCATATTATGGCCTTCAAGGAAACCTGACAACCTCATCACACGAAATATCCTCTTTATTAACTAATTTTTTACCAACAGCTGTACTCTGAGGAACAGGTTGATATTGATAAAGCTTCTGCGATCTATTACTCTACCATGTTTTTCACAATCACAGCTCGATGCACTGAACGCACCCATCTCTTTGGAAGAACTCTTAGAAACCATTACTAATTCATCTAATGGTAAAGCCCTTGGCCCAGATGGTTGTTCATCTGAATTCTACAAACTATCCTGTGAATATATTCACCATACCCTCTTACAAGTATACAACAATATATGGCAGGGTGGTCCTTACCTTCCTATGGGCTCCACAGCGTTTATAAAACTACTAGCCAAGAAGGGCAAAGACCCCACTCTCCGCCCTATTTCAATATGGATGCCAAACTCTTATCCAAAATAGTCGCATCCCACCTGGCAAATACTGTATACTCTCTGGTCTCCTGCACCCCACACAGTCAGGGTTTGTCAAAGATAGATCAGCAGTTCTACATATTCGCAAAGTAATTTTGGCACTGGAACAAGCTAAACTTCATCCCAATAAGATATGGTCATTCTGTCTCTTGACACAGAAAAAGCTTTCGATAATATCAATCTTCACTGGCTCTTCTTAGTCTTTGGGAAATTTTGCTTTCACGGCCCCATTACGCACTTACGTCTCTCCATGTATTCCTCTCTCATGGCTAGGCTACTCACTCTGAGTACAGTTTCGGAATCTATTTGTCTAAAAAGGGGAACGCGCCAGGGCTGCCCCCTTTCCTATTCTCTTGTTCAACCTGGCCATTGAACCTCTTTCCAGACTGCTCAATTCTCACCCCGTTCTTTCAGGCATTACAATTGGCAGTGTAGTCATGAAAGCTGCTTTATTTGCGGACGACATTCTCATCTCTTCCTCTGCAGTATCTACTGATCTCCCTATTATTCAGGATTAATTCTCTACCTTCCAACTCTGTTCGGGCCTACGCATTAACTTCACCAAAAGTGAAATTCTCCCACTAACCCTATATTATTCCAGATCATGGATCACATCCTCCCCGCTTCAGATAGCCTCCCACCATATCACCTATTTAGGCATCAGGATAGGAAAAGACCCTTCATCTCTCTACCAGCTCAACTTTCTCCCTATTTTTGAGAAGATCAACATGGAATTGGATAAATGGTTTACTCTCCCCCTTTCACGTTTCGGCAGATGCCATCTCTTTAAAATGGTATAATTTGTGAGACTCTTATACCCACTACAAACCCTGCCTTTATTGCTTAAACACAAAGATATCCAATCTCTGAATAAATCATTATAAACTTTTTTTGTGGCGTTCTAAACGAGCCAGGATTGCACTCCTCAAACTCTAGCTGCCGAAGTGTGACGGTGGAATGGGCCTCCCCAATATCCACTTATATAACATGGCATGCCTTCTTCGCCAGGGACTAGACTGGTTGTCGAATAAATCAATGTATTCTAACTACATGCTTGAGTCAGCCCTGGCTCACACCCTTAATTAATCGGTGGTCCTACATACTCCTCTCAAACTGCTACACACCCTAGATTGAATCATAACTCTCTAATTCGCAATACGGTGATAGCGTGGCAAGAAGTCTGTAAGCTGATGGGAGTCTCTTCTACTATCGCCAACCACCTTCCTATCCTGGGTAATCCTCAGTTCCCTCCTGGTATGGCTCATGAGGCCTTCGCCATGTGGGCAACTAAGGGGCCGCTTGTTGTTTACTCCCTCTGGAGCTCTAGATCCGGCACTGTCTGTCCTTTTACAGAAATATCTCAACGTTTCCATCTTCCCCAGCATCATCTGTTTTACTACATGCAGTTAGCCAACTTTCTACAGACACAATTGCGGGGAGGTAGGACGGTTCTTGCTTGTCTGCTGATAGATAATGCACTTAAATGCAACCAATGCTCTATATCCTCGTTATACTCACAGCTTTTAGATTGCCGCCTACCCTCGTTCTGTGACTCACTTTTCCGAGGCTGGTCCAAGGACTTACCGGAGTTGGACGATCCTTCCAGGCTTTTGGGGGGCTATACCCTGATACACAAGATCATTATTAATGAACAATGGAGAGAAGCTCAATTCAAGCTTATCCACAGAGCCTTCATTCCTGCATTGATGAACGGCTCATCCCCGACTCAAACAGTATGCTCCTGGTGTGGAACCCCTAGGCCTACCCTTTTCCACAGATTCTGGCTTTGCTCACCTATTCAAACCTACTGGGTCACTATTGTCAGCTATATTTATGGCATCACATGCATACATATTCCACATGATCCACTACTGTGTCTCTTCAGTGCTCCGACACTCATGCCGACCGTTCCACATAGCACAGATCGACCCAAACCCTCCCCCCCCGGGTCCATTTATGTCTTCTATCTGCCGGAGAGTGTTGATAAGGGCCTGGATATCGCATTACACACCTACCCTGTCCTCTGTCAAAAAAGATCTGAAATCACTTTTATACCTGGAAAAATTGGATACCCCCTCATCCATGGGGACTTTCCCCTACACCCATAGGGCAAACGCAGTAGGATTTGCTATCCCATGACCCTATCTCTATCATTCAGGGAATATCACTCAGATTTTTTGATCCAACCTTGGGTATCCATTTTATGTAACTGTATTTTTACCCATGTGCAATCTCCTTTATATGAATGTTAACTGATATGTGCCACAGCGGGACAGAGTCAAGCTCTCTAGTTTTGGGCTTGATGCTCTCCCATATATATGTATATCTGTATGTATACAATGTGTCTCACTTATGAATGACAAGCTCTTCTCTGCATATCTATCTCGCTGAGAACATTCCATTTCAAATATTCAGCTGATAAGTCATTCATTTGTTATTCTTGTCTCCTACTTGGTTCCTATTTATCAAGATCATGTATATTTTGTTCCTTTTGTAATCTTGTGAAAAGAAAACTTGAAAATCCGAATAAAAATAATTTAAACAAAAAAAACACACTCTTTCCCCACTTCTTTGCGACATCACTGGGGGTCATTGCCAAGCAACAAGAAAGCATCAGTTACGTGAATGTGTTACTGTAAAGGTTGCATTTTAGATCAGTTTAGGATGCTTCTGAAATTATTCTAAGTTTTTTTTCACCAGTGCAGCAGACCTCTGAGTGTCGTTTAAACTCCTGCTAGGCTTCATCAAGATGCTTTATGCTGCTTTTGCATTACCATTTATTTGTATGGGGAGAGAAAAGCAATTCTTATGCTAACAAAAGCCTGTGTACACAGGCTCTTATACTTTGCATCACTCCTCTTTCCTCTTGACCTTAGTTTGGTTTATCCTTGCTTTTTCCACAGATGAGATAAGGGAAACCGCCATCTTAAAAGATGTGAAGGAAACTTTATCAGAAACAATTTTATTGTGTGAAAGGACATCTCGTACACTTAACCAGCAACAAAGAGAGGTATTGTTAACTAATCTCATTTTGTTTTGTTTTTTTAGTATCCCCATTGTTTCACATTTCCCAATAGTGCTCTTAACTTGTATTTAAAGTTGACTCCTTCACTAAAGTACTTGTATTTTGCTCCTCAGGTGATGAAGGTTTTAGTGCACTGTGGAGTCACCAGTTTTAAGGTTCAGTCTAGCCATAAGGCAGTGCAGGAAGGTTAACAGATAACTGTATTTTCTATACAGTAATGCAGACCATAGACGGGTCATAAATTTTTGTCTGCACAAAAAAATCAGCCGATATTCACGCCGTTAGTGGTGCCAGCCCGTTGGCAGTTTTTCGTGAATCTTCACATTTATTTTTATCGGTCATGCTGGAAAATCCACGAAAAACGGCCGTTTTTCGTGGACATTGGTGGCAGCATCGGCAACGGGGCCGACCAGTTTTTCATTTATCAGCCGAAAATTCGGCCGATAAACGGCCCATCTATGGCCTGCCTAAGGCAAAGTTCACACTTTGAAAATATTGTAACTGTGACGCTAACCAACGCACCCATATCGTTAATGAGCATTTTTGATGTGCTTAATGTGCACTTAAGGCTCATTAAAGATACGCACCTGAGACACACTCCAAGTGATTTCTATTTTATTAAGGGGGTATTATTTTTTCCCCACTCACTGATTTTATTATTTATTTTATTTTTATTTCAGGTGCTTATATAGCGCCATTGATTTACACAGTGCTTTACACATATATATTGTACATTCACATCAGTCCCTAACCCTCAAAAGGCGTACAATCTAAGGTGGCCAGGGTACCTTGAAAATGCACATATGTGCGAAACATGTCCTGGTAACCGGCCTTCACTTCGGCTTGCGGTCCTACATTGGTTCCTCCCCTCCATCTCTCAGATACCGCAGTGACGTCATCCTGGGACGCCCCGATCACGTGGTCCCTGCATTGACAGGCGATTCTTATTATCACGCAGATTTCCATTAGAGCGGACGGCCATTCATCCTGACACAGGCATTCATCTTAAATTACAGGTTTCTGTTTTCATTTTCCACCCATTGTCTTATCCTAATAAAGGTGCACCTCCTAGTGAGGTATTTCTATCACTACACTTACCACAGCTCTGTTTCTTCTCTGGAACTAGTACAATCTAAGGTCCCTAACTCACATTCATACATACACACATACTAGGGCCAAATTAAACAGGATCCAATTAACCTACCAGCATGTCTTTGGAGTGTGAGAGGAAACTGGAGTACCTGGAGGAAACCCACGCAGTTACAGGTATAACATGCAAACTCCAGGCAGGTGGTACCGTGGCTGGGATTTGAACCAACAACCCTAGTACTGCCAGGCGGAAGTAGTGCTGACCATTTAGCCACTGTATTTGGTAAATATTTGTCAAATGCGCTGTAAACATGCTGTAAATGATACAGTCGGTTTACGACACGTTAACATAGTTTTGAGTAGAAGGAGTTGACAAGCTTCATCTCCTCCCAGACTCGACATGTAGCTTTAGTTTGCGGCACAGTGATGTGAAGTGTTGCAAACTCTACTTATTTTTTAAATGAGAACAGCTCTTTCCAAAGTCCATCTTTGCTAAATGTTCAGGGAGCAGTAAATATTCAGCCAAAATCCCCTTTTCTAGTGCCTGTGTGAACAGGGCCTAATACTTTATAGGGCCAACCCTACCCCTCCCCAGCATAACTGCTGGGATCTTTTGTGTGCTTTACATTCTTGCCTTCAAAAACCTCCCAGCCAGGCTCTGCTTGTTTCTGCATATGAATCCAAAAATCTTCATTCAAAAGGCTGTCCTTCTTTCATCTCAATGGTGGAAGGCCTTTCCATAGAGGTAAAGCAAGATTATGGTACATATGATTGGGAGTGCATAGCCTGGCTAGAAGACATAAAGAAAAGGCTAAATATAAATACTCCACAGCGCAAAAAAAAATTGAAATAAAAATTATGAAAAAAAGTCCAAAAAAATATTATTCAAAATATATAAATTGTGCTCAATCCCAAAAACAATGCTCCAAAATTCTTCAAACAAATGTGCTCACACCATCCGTGATTAATGCTCCAATCCCCACTCACCAGATGGAATGGACTCTTTGCTGATATCGCTAGAGTCAAACAAGCTTTATAGACTGGGCATATTCTCCCAGATAACTCTGCACTTGATATCCTCCAAAAATGACTCCCACAATTAGATGGCAATGAAAAACAAATAAAAAGACACAAATAGTGCAAAACTGTAAAAAAACTCTTTAATCTAAAAAAGGCTGTCTTTTATGCACTCACATGATGAAAAGTATACTCAGGCTTTCATAATAGGCCCAGAGGCTTATATTATATGACAATCCATTTGTAAAAGTGGGCTGGCAGTGATGAGTATAAATCTCCTCTAGAAAAGCAGGAAGTCACTTTGGAGCGACGCAAACTAGCGTGCGCTCCACTCACTGGACGTGACATCACCACGCATCCACCGGAAATACATTGATGCGTTTTGCCCTCCTCCAAGGGGTTATCCAAGACTAAATAAAAGGCTGTCTGACACGCAAAGAACCACACATTCAAGATGTTAGTGGAAGGGGGAGAAGTAAGTGTAACATTTGCAGGGGAAGGATAACTGTATGACAGGTCTTTTAGCACCTCACAACATAATTATGATGACACCAAGCCTGTTTCCATCCATCACTAGCACTGGGGGAGAAGTATAATGATGTGCATTTTTACTGGAATGTGAGGTGGGATTCATTTATTAACTGATATGGTTTGAATTTTGTGTTGTGTAAATAAGAGGTTACATTTTATGCAGTAATAGATCAAAAATATTAATATGTGGTTAATAACAAACTTTTGTGCAGAGCTTTTGATATGCTGATAATATATATTCACCGGCCACTTTATTAGGTTTGACTGTTCAATTGCTTGGTAACACAAATTGCTAATCAACCAATCACATGGCAGAAATTCAGTGCATTTAGGCATCTAGACGTGGTGAAGACAACTTGCTGAAGTTCAAACCAAGCATCAGAATGGAGAAGAAAGGGGATTTAAAGTGTTACTAAACCCAGGACCCTGCATTCGCAGTACACTGAACATGGAAATGCAATTATCTTCGTAAAATATAAACTGCGAAATACCTTTTCTCATCTGCAGTCTTGTGACATCTATCAGTGTGCAGCAGAGCACATGTTAGAGCTTGTAGGAGGAGTTTTCATTATGCCATAGGAGGATGCAGAAACCCTGACCTCTGTCTGGACAGTGCTAATTGGTCCTGGCTGATGGCATGCACTCTCCCAAGAAAAAAAAAAAAACCTCTCTTGCAATACACACCAAACTGAGCATGTACAGAGTGTCTCCACATAATTAGGTCTTATCAGGAAATAAGAAGGAGGCACTGGAAGAAGGAAGGATCAGAGAAGACAGGAGCAAATAGCCCTTTTACACAATGCAGAGGATTAAACCCCTTAGGTTCCACAGCGAGTATAACAAGCATGCTTTACTGCATATACAGACTGATTTTATGGTTGTGGGTTTACTAAAACTTTAAGCGACTTTGAACTTGGCATGGTTGTTGGTACCAGACGGGCTGGTCTGAGTATTTCAAAAACTGCTGATCTACTGGGATTTTCACACACAACCATTTCTAGGTAAATCGAGACTTATCAGACCAGGCAATGTTTTTCCAACCTTCTATTGTCTAATTTTGGTGAGCCTGTGCAAATTTTAGCCTCCATTTCTTGTTCTTAGCTGACAGGATTGGCACCTGGTGTTAGCCATCTGCTTCAAAGTTTGACATGTTGTGCATTCAGAGATGGTATCCTGCATACCTTGGTTGTAACAAGTGGTTATCTGAGTTACTGTTGCCTTTCTATCATTTCGAACCAGTCTGCCCATTCTCCTCTGACCTCTGACCAACAAGGCATTTTCATCCACACAACTGCCACTCACTGGATATTTTCTCTTTTTTGGGACCATTCTCTGTAAACCCTAGAAATGGTTGTATGTGAAAATCCCAGTAGATCAGCAGTCCATTTATGAAATAATCAGACCAGCCCATCGGGCACAAACAACTATGCCACATTCAAAGTCACTTAAATCCCCTTTCTTCCCCATTCTGATGATTAGATTGAACTTCAGCAAGTCTTCTTCACCACAGTTGCATGCCTAATTGCATTGAGTTGCTGCCATGTGATTGGCTGATTAGCAGTTTGTGTTACCAAGCAATTGTACGGTGAGTGTAGCTTGGGTCCTTAATAATAGGAGTGTTGGATAAGGGAGCCATTATGTGTTATTTAGTAATAGTTGGTATGGAAGGCTTAAAGTGATTTAAAGGTTCCAATTTACATACAAAAATAACAAACATGTCATTCTTAACTGCTTTGTGCAATGGTTTTGCACACAGAGGCTCTTCTGGCCCCTCCCGCTTTCTAAGAGCCCCCAAAGCAAGCTGCTTGCTTTGGGGGCACTCCTACATGCTCGCTCTCCGAGCTAACTCTGTGTGTCTATGGGACACACAGAGTAAGGCTCAGTCCCACACCTTTTCCCTCCTCACTGGCTGTGATTGACAGCACCTAGAGCCCATGGCTCCCGCTGCTGTGTCTTAGCAAATGAGGAGGGAGACACCCAGGAGAGCCTAGGCTCTTGTGTACAGCAATGGATCACAATAGGGCTCAGGTAAGTATTAAGTGGGCTGCGGGGGAAGCTGCACACTGAAGGCCTATAGAGCCACTTTAAAATAATTATTCTTTTACTCTTTTTATTGTATTATTGCCAATATTACAGAAATACTTTGAGATGTGAAGGTAGTTCAGAGTGGTAGCTTGAGTAACAGTATGTAATTCACATGGATTATCATATTATGTTCAGTTTTGAAAAACCAGCACTCACTGATCATTGGTCATATTCATACTATACACAGTGATAAACCCTAGCCTGACTTGTTCATGGGGTAATGCTGGGCTTCACCTGATAATTTCATGTGCCTTGGCCATATTTACAGCAAAGCAGGAAGAGCACATCCTTATCTGGGGAAGCAGGACTGACGGACATACAATAAATACTGCTCTTTTGCTGTACCAGGCTGTGATCACTTAGTTAAAACAGCCCCCTTCTATGCTAGAACATTTGAGTAAAGAAACTTACAATTAATATTAATTCTTCTGGCTGTTTAATTGGTGGACCACCAGAGTGATAATTGCTGACACAAGATAAACCATTGAAACGGGTGTGTTGACAGAGTAATAGCAGCATTTTTAGTCCTGAGATAAAGTTTACACAAATGGGGTTTAGACGACAGAGTTTAGGCAGGGTGTGAGGCCAAGAAAAAAAAATGTATAAGAACCTCATGTGGAGTCCTTATCAAGCAATCAGAATTAATCTTCCTACCTTTGCACATGATCACCACTTTACTGAAGAATTATGTATGTTATGCAGTACAATGTCTTACAATGAATCAGTCCGTACAACTTAAGTTAGGAAATTCAGGATAACCACCACCACTCTGTTCTGTTTTCTCTATAGGCACTATGGTTTCCTCTCCTTGAAGCAATGATGTCTCCACAGAAGCTATTAAGTTCTTCTTCTTCTCAGTTATATTTGGAGTGTAAGTTTCACTTTCCTGTTCTTTGTATGACATGGGCTGTTCAAAAGGTTTTTGTCCTCCAATAGCAGTAAAATAGAAAACCCACTAGAGCCGCTATTAAAGGCTAGTTTTCTCCCAGTTGAACTCCTGTCTGTCTTTTAGTTTTTTCTTTTTCTCTGGTACCCAGGAGCATCCATTACACGCTAGATTTCTTGGTTAAAGAGGAATCTGAGCTATAACTTGTTATAAAAAGCCATTACTATTAGCAGTGCTATGTCTGCTTCCTCAGCTGAGGAAAGATGGTAAATTGCTGAGCTCGCCAGACTGCTGGAGTAGGAATTGCTGAATGGAATAAAGGGAGTCCATAGAGAGTGAAGCCTTCTTCCACTAGATATTGCTCATGGGCTAAAATGGTTTTATGTATTCAGAAAACCAAGATAAACTCTGTTTCTTACATTTGAGGGGTTTTCCATTTTTAGGAGAGGAAACACCTTCTAGAGCAGGGGTATTGAATTAAAATTCACACAGGTCCAGGCAGTAAAATTTTCATCCCATCAGAGGTACGAATCTCATGTAGGTATTACTGTCCTCTGCCCCCCCTCCATGTTACTGTCCTCAACCAATCCACATTACAGTTCTTAGCCGCCCCACTTTAATGTCCTCAGCCTCCACACACCACAGTCCTTATCCCCCCACATTACTGTCCTCAGCACACCCCCTCCACTTTATTGCTCTCAGCCCCACCCCCCCCCCCCCCCCCCCCCCCCCCCCATATTACAGCCTCTAGCCCCACACATTTCAGGCTTCAGCTCGTCCACTTTCATTTTAATATCCTCAACCCCCCACACTACTGTCGTCAGTCCTCCCACATTACTATTCTCAGCCTCCCCCCCAACATTACTGTTCTAAGGCCCCCACATTCAGTCCTCAGCCCCCCCCACAGTCAGTCCTCGGCTCCTTTTTACATCAGCCCCCCATCACACTAATGTCCTTTGCCCCCCCAGTGTCCTACCTTACACAGACAGTGATTGACAGACAGTGGTTGATTGCTAGTACTGCCCTTCATTCTAGCAACCAATCACCTGCTTGTTAACCTCGGGCAGCTCCCGCCTTCCACCCAGAACTGTCCTACCTCCTGTTGTCAGCTCTGTGAGGATGACCACGAGACAGCTTGGGGAAGAAAAAGCTCCTAAATGGCAGGACTGCAAGGGTCTGGATGGGACAGTGACTTCGCATCCTGACCCGGTCCGCCATTTAGTGATGCCTGTCCTATAGGAAAATAACAACCAACAAGGGGGGGTGTGAATGTTTAAAGCTTGCTATAGACACTAGAAAGCAATCTTTTACAATATATTTCCATAAATTTACATGTGATCATCACCCAGTCAATAAAGTTTATGGCTATGAAGGAAAGGGGAAGGCAGTGGTGGCATTATATTCAGAAAGCAATAGAAAATGAGTATTTAGCACAGTTATTTACTCTTTTTCCTGTGATTATTCAGATGGAGATGTTCATGCCATCCAGCCAGTGTTTATAAACAATGGAACTGACTGATCTGGCCGAAACTCTCCAGACAGAAGTGAGTGAGCTTATATTTTTGAGAAATAGCCTTTATTGTAATGTATACCTTCAGTTAGACTTTCCAATAGTAAGAAAAACAAACAATTTTGGTTTTTGGTCATTGGTAATGTAGGCGTTGCCCCTCTACTTAACTACTTCAATACCGGGCACTTATACCCCCTTCCTGCCCAGGCCAATTTTCACCTTTCAGCGCTGTCTCATTTTGAATGAGAATTGCGCAGTCATGCAACACTGTACCTATATGAAATTTTTAGAATTGTTTTCACACAAATAGAGCTTTCTTTTGGTGGTATTTAATCACCACTGAGATTTTTATTTTTTTGCTAGATAAAACAAAAATCACCTGAAACTTTTGAAAAAAAAAACGCACTTTTCTTAATTTCTGTTACAAAATTTTGCAAATCAATAACATTTCTTCATAAATTTAGGTCAAAATGTATTCTGCTACATTTCTTTGGTGAAAATAATAATAAATATTGAGTTTGTATTTTTTTTTTTCAAATGTTTTTGTATTTGTCTTTTTCAGCACACAGTGACCAAAGCAATACAATGTTACCGTAGTAGCATTGAACTACTCTGGGAAAGTGATCAGTATTTTTTCTTTTTTTTTTTAACACATTATGATTGCTAATACCAGTGTATTTCATTGATATTTGCAATCATGGTTACTGAATGAGACTAATTCATTCAATCTTTTGTTGTGATTAGCTGTGATTGGGCAAAGCTGATCGCATGATACAGATGGGCTGTGATTGGCTCTGTCTGTATCATTTGACTGCCTTGACCAGTCACAGCTAACAACATAATTGTATACAATGGATGGCATGACAGGAAGCCATCCATTGTATACAATTGACATGTGATCTGCTGTGATTGGTCACAGCAATCACATGACATTGGCAACGGGACCGGTGTAGTGAGATCTCATCAACTGTGTCCCGTGGACACAGACAGTGACAGAACACGCCGCTGCGCGGCTCGTTTTGACAGAACGTCAAAAGATGCCCAGTCACAATGGCGAGTGTCCCGCCCAGCCGTCAATCTGCTATAGGCCAGGCGGGAAGGTGTTAAACATTGGTTCCCCAAGTCCTTTGGTCACTTTAAAACTGGGACTCACTGATATTCAAGGATATCAGAACAGTTTAGCATGTGACTGGTGCCTGCTGTTGATCATGTGACTAGTACCAGATAGGTGAAAAACCATGGACTCCAGTATAAAGGTATGTTTTTGTTTTTTTTTTAATCAATTTCAGAATAAATAGCAGTATTTACTTGTCTTCCATGTCATGATTTGGCTGTTTTGCAACTAAGCATACATTTTTCAATAAAAACTGTGTTGCAAAAATCAACTAATAAAGTATAGCACTGAGGAAAAAAAGGTGCAGCCTACCCACAGCAACTAGTCAGCTGTCTTATTTGTATTGAATACTTTAAATAAACATTTCTGCTTTGTTTTAGGTGCAGTCATTTTTAAATTGTGCCATTTCATTGTTACTGAAATCAAATATTCTTTTATCCATTGCTTTGAATTTTGACTTACGTAAGCAATTGTGGCTTATATTTATCCATATAGCTTTAAAGAATCTTACAATGGATGTCCTCAACAGCATGGCAGCTTATATCTCTCTTCCATCCATACTCCAGAGGATATTGCAGGTATGGGCTTCATGGTAACACACTGATATCTATGTATGTTTTCCTGGAATAGTCATTAACATTTCATGTTAAACTAGAAATCTGTTTCATTACATAGGCCTCACCAGAAACATAAAAATGTATATTTATATGTACAGGTGAAACTCTAAAAATTAGAATATCGTGCAAAAGTTCATTTATTTCAGTAATGCAACTTTAAAGGTGAAACTAATATATGAGATAGACTCATTACATGCAAAGCAAGATACTTCAAGCCGCGATTTGTCATAATTGTGATGATTATGGCTTACAGCTCATGAAAACCCCAAATCCACAATCTCAGAAAATTAGAATATTGTGAAAAGGTGCAATATTCTAGGCTCAAAGTGTCCCACTCTAATCAGCTAATTAAGCCATAACACCTGCAAAGGGTTCCTGAGCCTTTAAATGGTCTCTCAGTCTGGTTCAGTAGAAATCACAATCATAGGAAAGACTGCTGACCTGACAGTTGTGCAGAAAAACCATCATTGACACCCTCCATAAGGAAGGAAAGCCTCAAAAGGTAATTGCAAAAGAAGTTGGATGTTCCCAAAGTGCTGTATCAAAGCACATTAATAGAAAGTTGTGTGGAAGGGAAAAATGTGGAAGAAAAAGGTGCACAAGCAGCAGGGATGACCGCACCCTGGAAAGGATTGTCAGGAAAAGGCCATTCAAAAGTGTTGGGGACTTTCACAAGGAGTGGGCTGAGGCTGGAGTCAGTGCATCAAGAGCCACCACACACAGACGGATCCTGGACATGGGCTTCAAATGTTGTATTCCTCTTGTCAAGCCGCTCCTGAACAACAAACAACGTCAGAAGCGTCTTACCTGGCTAAAGAAAAATAGACCTGGTCTGTTGCTCAGTGGTCCAAAGTCTTCTTTTCTGATGAAAGCAACTTTTGCATCTCATTTGGAAACCAAGGACCCAGAGTATGGAGGGAGAATGGAGAGGCACACACTGCAAGATGTTCACACGGGCATACTATAGTGTACACCTGTGCAAAAGCCAATTTAACAGCCATGTGGTTATGGGTGCACATCCCCGAATGCTCATTGTCTGCATTTGGGGCCACGCATCTGCACTCATGGGTCGTCATGAACTGGGATTCAGGAGATGAGCCCTGACATGCCAAGGAGGGCCAGTCAGACATCCTAATCAGGATTTCCTTTACTGAAACTGGCCTTGATTCAAAGGTAAACTAGAAGTAGAAGGAAGGAAAGACAATGAAGAAAAAAGAGAAGGAGCAAGAAAGGAAGAAGATTAAAGTTGAGGGAAAGGACAGGCAGGTTGGGAAGAAGGATGAGGGGGGTAGGGTTCCCCTTTTGTGGTTTAGATTCAGGAATTCTGTGATGACTTATAGGCATATAAGGGTAGCCAGGTCCAGGGTATATTTTATGGAACCTCCGTTTATTGTTGGACAAATGTTTATTTTGCTACAAAATATATCAAATGCATATTTTGATGTGCTTCCTTGTCTGTCCCATACAATCTCCTTAAAGCATATCTATGGTCAAAATGTAAAATCATATACCCATTTCCACATTGTATTTCAATTTTTTTCTAGACTATTCATATTAATCTGAATGATCTTGAAGTATGTAAACTTACTTTGTAAAGATCCTCATACTTCTTGGAATTCTGTAACACATACTGTATTTACTATGCCCTGTTGATAGGCATTGTGTTCTAGAATTCACAGAGCCTGCCTTGTGATCTACAGGGGAGCTGAAAGCAGTTTTTAAGAAGCAGTACAGAAATCACTGCCTGCCAGTAGTAAGGTACCATGGGATATGTAGTCCTTAGAAATTGAAAATAAACAGCAGAGGAGAGACTGCAAAGTATGCAGGGAATCCAGGAAGTTGTGGAAAGAAATGGCCAGCAGACAGGCAGCAATCACAACATGAAATGAGATTATTTTTAAGCAAGCTTATATTGGATTGTCAAAAATAACTATTGTGTGATTTGTTACAGTGCTTATGTTCTAAAATAAAAGTGTACACAATGACCATAGATTTCCTTTAATAAAGTTTTATTTTTTAAAAAGCAAAAAAAAAAAAAAAAATATTCAATTCGCACTGGTATTGAGTTATGAATGATAATCAGGGTTATTCTTTTAAAGGAAGCCACCAGGGCCAGAAATAGTTTGATAGTGTAAACCAGTAGTATGAGGCGGCATGACTACTACTTTGTTGAGAAATTAGGTTGCATTTGTTACTGTTTTTTGTGGTTTTGTACTGTAAGCTACATTTGTATACAATTTTGGTACAATGGGAAGTATCTCATCAGTTAAGATGTTGAAACCAATTTAAATATACTGTTTTATTGATGTAAAATAACATGCAGAAACAAGCTTCTGGTCATGAATATAACCCTATTCTGTTGCGCTCCCAAAACACTCCAATATATATATGTATAATCTCTGATCTATATCCTGAAAACATATGCAAAAAAGTGGAAAATAAATTATGAAAAATACCTTAACCAAATAACATGTAAAATTGCCTAATTAATTTTAAAAAATGTATCCGTGATTATACAAAAATAAAATCTGTGATTAAAAAGTGACCTAAATTAATATTACTTCACTTATAAGAAACGATATATACAAATATCTTAAAAAAAATAAATGAATTAATTGATATATCTGTGAAAACTGTGTCCCATACAAATAAAAAGTGACTTTGTGCTTTAATTAATCTTCAATCCATAATTGCATGTAAATCCGTGACTGATTGTGAATCCTCCCATTAGTACATCTGCACTAATGGGAGGATTCACAATCAGTCACGGATTTACATGCAATTATGGATTGAAGATTAATTAAAGCACAAAGTCACTTTTTATTTGTATGGGACACAGTTTTCACAGATATATCAATTAATTCATTTATTTTTTTTAAGATATTTGTATATATCGTTTCTTATAAGTGAAGTAATATTAATTTAGGTCACTTTTTAATCACAGATTTTATTTTTGTATAATCACGGATATATTTTTTAAAATTAATTAGGCAATTTTACATGTTATTTGGTTAAGGTATTTTTCATAATTTATTTTCCACTTTTTTGCATATGTTTTCAGGATATAGATCAGAGATTATACATATATATTGGAGTGTTTTGGGAGCGCAACAGAATAGGGTTATATTCATAATTTTTCACACATTGGTTGTTATGTGTTAGATGTTTGCGATCCTACCATATAGAGGTTATACATTTGATGTTATATTAGGGTGACCGTTTGTTTTTTGGCTCGCAAGATTCTTTAAATATTTTATAAGCTTCTGGTCATTCCATCGGCTCAGTTTTATGAACCTCCAAATATGTCTATAGAAAAACTAATCACAATTGAAATAAAACACAGAGCACGCCTGTGTCTGTTAACATGCAGCATTTAAAAAGATTGCTCTGGGTAGTAATTCCACATTAATGGGCAAAATGGGTTAAATGGCATCGGTTGTAGCTGGAGTCTCATCTGCTGCCTGCTCATCTTTGGCTCCCTCGTCTACAGTATGCAGCTGTTCCAGAGAGTCTCTTTGAAATCTGGGCCACCATTTCATGTATATTTCATGAAATATGCTCTGCAGTATCATGTGGCCATGGTCTGGTAGACATTCACATATCTTTTACACAAAAGTTCTAGAGATCCTTACTAATATTAATTGTTGTTTAGCTTTTTTTCTCTCTCAATTTTTCATCTCCTTTTGATCATTCATTAACTTACTTGACTTTATTGAAGTAAATATTTCTCCTGTTTTGACTAAGAATTTGTCTTTAATTGTATTGTATAGATTTATTAATTTCAAACGTCTACATCAGTGTAATGTCCCTTTCCTATCATTTTTCACTTTGTATACTGTTTTACATGGTAAGACTAATTTTACTGGGATCAGCAGAGTACCCATGCACACCCAGTGGCCTGCCTACATCCTTCCCCATACTCAACCCCTATATCATAGCAAAGTTGACATTGTCACAGCTGGTTCCACCATCTTTCTGCCTTTTAACCATGCTATCTGCAAGAATTGCAGTGGGCATGAAGGAACTTATTTATAAGCCATCCTATTAACGTCATCTGTATTGGTGTTGCCTGGCCCATGAGACACCGACTGCCTGCAATTACTTTCTTCCTTAGGAAGTAAGACGCAGACATATGATGAGTGCTACACTAGTGCAAAATTTGTTCTTGCATCACTGGACCACCTAGTATTCTTATCTATGCCCGGATCCCCTGACACCCAATAAGCCCTAGGCATCCAGTTTTTTTTCCCATCCTCTACAGGACCTTTTATCACAGTGCCTGAAGAATAAAAATTTCAAATGGCAGCCTGTTTTATTTTACATAAACATTTAATTGCCCCCCACTGGGCTTTTAGCTTTCTATAAGATTTACTTTCTGGGAACTCCTCTTGAAGACTGTTATTCAATGTTCCAATTACAATTCTGGCTAAATATTAGCAATTCCAGCAGTTGCATCTGTTTTCTTTGTAGTTATTTTTTGTCTCGAATAATTGACTTAAATGTGAACTCCAGGTATGGCAATTTTACATAGGTATATTGGTCTAGCTTAGATCAATGTAAATATATATGTGTCATACCTGTGAGATCCCCATGGAAGCTGGAAATCACTGAAGCATGCACCCCTGTTACAGTGATTGTTGTTTGCTTTTTTTTCATCCCACCCATCTGGTTGCATTACATAGACCAGTTTCTATGCTATGATCTATGATTTGGGGTTGCCTACCATGTTGTGTCATTCTTCATTAGTTCTCAGTATTCTTGTGGTCCTCTGATGTCAAGCTTAGTTTTTTCTGCTAACTTACCACTTTATGTTGACCCCTTTCTACCAGGTTAGGGTTTCTGCCTCATCCAGTGACAGCTTTGGTTGTTTGTTCTCCGGCTGCTCTTGAGCTGCATGCAGTCCCCAGTTTTATTCACATGGGGCCTATTAGGGGTTATTTACTGTTGCTTGCCCCTCAGTTGGGGTGCTTTTGGACGTCACAAAAGTGAATGACTTTGTGTCCTTCAAAGGACAAGAAAGAAAATAGGATTTCTGTACTCTCTGAAAACTGCTTTTCTTGCATCTATTAGGGGAGTGATGTCCCACCCCTCTGTGTTTATGGTTATGCTCATGGTACTACTGGCTACCATCCGAGGCATGTTGGAAGTAGGAGAGGTTTTCTGTGTTGGTCTACCTTTTTTTTTGTTTGCCAATGTGTAATCCTTCTTTAGAGGCAGTGTAACCCACTGGTGTATGACTTCAATGTCCCTTAATGGACTACATGAAAAGCATTTTATAGTGAGTACAATATTTCTATTTTTCCAGCATGTGTCCTGAAAGATAAGATTTGTAAATCTCCAATTACGCTGGACGTACAGAAGCCCAGATAGCTTATTAACTGGTCATATTGTGGTGTGAATTTCTCTTAATATCACACTGTGTGTTTTTCAGCTTTGCTTTTTAAATTAAGAATTTAGAATCCATCATGGTTATGGGTGATGTGGGCTTCTTAAGATATCATAGCTCACATGGGGCCATTAGTAATTGTAAAATAATTTAATCAGCAGTCTGCAGTACAGAAAGGCCTGTGGTACAACTTTCACTCTGCTAGTTTTTATTTAAAGCTTGCTTCAAGGCAAACAGCTAAATTTAGCTGGGGGCAATTCACCTGACAAAGGTTTTTTAATTCTGTTTAACTGTACTTCTAAGCCAGGCTCTCTTACCAAAATACTCAGCCAGCCATTCCTTGAGACATCTCTGCAGACTACACTGCAGTTGGGTAATATGGACAGGGCATTACAAGAGCCTGATAATAGGACATACAGTTGCAAGAAAAAGTATGTGAACCCCTTGGGATTACGTGGAGTTTTGCATGAATTGGGCATAAAATGTGCTCTGAACGTCATCTAAGTCACAACAATAGAACACAGTCTGCTGAACATAATACTACACAAACATTAGATGTTGCCATGGTTTAATTGCACATAACATGTAAACATTCACAGTGCAGGGAGGAAAAAGTATGTGAGGCCCCAGCTTAATGACTTCTCCCAGAGCTAATTGGAGCCAGGAGTAAGCCAACCTTGACCCAATCAGTGTGATATTAAATGTGTTGCTGACAGCTGTCCTGCCCTTAAAAAACACACACCTGTTTTTGGTTTACTGGTTTCAAGAAGCACTGTCTGATGTGAACCATGCCTCGCAGAAAAGTGCTCTCAGAAGACCTACGATCAAGAATTGTTGACTTGCATGAAGCTGGAAAGGGTTACAAAAGTATCTCCAAAAGCCTTGATGTTCATGTGTCCACCGTAAGACAGACTGTCTACAAATGGAGGAAGTTTAGCACTGTTGCTACTCTCCCTAGGCGTTGTCATCCTGTAAAAATGACTGCAAGAGCACAGCGCAGAATGCTGCATGAGGTAAAAAAGAATCCCAGAGTGTCAGCTAAAGACCTACAGAAATCTCTGGCACATGCTAACATTTTTGTTGACACATCTACAATAAAGAAAACATTAAACAAGAATGGAGTACATGGGAGGACACCACGGAGGAAACCATTGCTGTCCAAAAAGAATATTGCAGCACGTTTGAAGTTTGCAAAAGAGCACCTGGATGTTCCACAGCACTACTGGCAAAACATACTGTGGACAGACAAAACCAAGATTGAGTTGTTTGGGAAGAACACACAACACTGTGTGGAGAAAAAAAGGCACAGCACACCAACATCAAAACCTCATCCCCACTGTAAAACATGGCGGAGGGAGCATCATGGTTTGGGGCTGCTTTGCTGCCTCAGGGCCTGGACGGATTGTTGTCATTGATGGGAAAATTAATTCCAGAGTTTATCAAGACATTTTGCAGGAAAACGTACGACCATCTGTCCGCCAACTGAAGCTCCGCAGAGGATGGGTGATGCAACAGGACAATGACCCAAAGCATACAAGTAATTCAACAAAACAATGGCTGCAACAGCACAGAATATGCCTTCTGGAGTGGCCCAGTCAGAATCCTGACCTCAACCCGATTGATATGCTGTGGCATGACCTTAAGAGAGCGATTCACACCAGACATCCCAAGAATATTGCTACACTGAAACAGTTTTGTGAAGAGGAGTGGTCCAAAATTACTCCAGATCATTGTGCAGGTGTGATCTGCAACTACAGGAAACGTTTGGTTGAGGTTATTGCTGCCAAAGGAGAGTCAACCAGTTATTAAGTCCAAAGGTTCACATACTTTTTCCTCCCTGCACTGTGAATGTTTACATGTTATGTGCAATTAAACCATGGCAACATGTAATGTTTGTGTAGTATTATGTTCAGCAGACTGTGTTCTTCTATTGTTGCGACTTAGATGACGTTCAGAGCACATTTTCTGCCCAATTCATGCAAAACTCCACGTAATCCCAAGGGGTTCACATACTTTTTCTTGCAACTGTATTTAAATAGTTATATGTACAAATACATTTAACAATTTTTTTTATTGAAACAGAAGTTCACCATAAAATTACTTTATGAGCATTAAACAGCCATTTAACAAATATGCCTTTATTTCACCATGTTTGACTTTTGTACATGCTTGCTTGAAACTGCTGGCCATTTACCAGTGGCACAGTGCAACTCATGGTGTTGTTCAGCCCCATTCATGCTTTCTGCATCATGTTATTGCAAAGTCTGACTGGGAAACGCTTTATCTGTAGAGATATTTATTGTTAATGTATAATATATAATTGTAATAATGTGCTTCCCAAAGCCAGTGGGCTCTGTTTTTCTTATTCTGTTTACACTTTCAGTCCACCCTGTCCATTACAATAGCTTCAGACTAGGAAAACGTTTGATATAGACCATATCATTGATATATAATTATATATATTTAGAAGCACAATGGGATTGTGTAACTTTTTTAATCCTGTGATTTGCATGTGTAAGGCAAATAAAAAGGTTCACTTACTAGTCTCTTCATGACCCCCTGTTGGATATACTGACCTTCTGTTTGCTCCTTTTTCTTTCTGTTTTGACAGCTGAAGTATAGTGATATACCCAGCCCTTATTAGTTTTGGAGAAGAAATGACTGGTTGTTCTTACTTTCTATTTAAAAATTGGTGCTGTGATTCTTGGCTTTGTTGGATTTGTTGCAGATACACACTTGGGGATTCTTCATCTGTCTTTAGCGAGTCTGCGTTAGTGGCTTGTTGCTGTTCTTTTAAGTAGGAATACATTGGATGGGTCTACCCATTTGGGAGCTCAGATAGCTTAGAGTTGCCAACCACAGTTTGCTGATGTGTTTTTATGCAGCAGTGTGGCTTCACATATATTTGAAAATTTATGCAACCTCTCCAGGCGTCATCTGTTAGATGTTCTTATTCCTTCGTGAGCAAATTATTTGTGATGGGCTAGTTTGTTTACTTATTTGTTCTCATCTCTTTAGTTTCCACAACGGTCCCCTGCGAGGGACCTCATTGTTTTACTTGTATTTTGTCACAACTACTAAATAAAATATTATTATACCAAGAAAATTTATGCAACCTGTTTATTGTTCAGATCTTTGAAATTCAAAAAATTATGGATAGTGCCACAAAAAATAAAATAAAAACACTATAGTGAGTGGATGTGACGTCACGACTTTCCTTGAGCTGTTGGCATCCGTGTATGCCGGAGGAGGCTGGGTTCATCTGATTTTGAGAATGCTAATTTTGCTAATTTTGCTGGTGTCGGCTGGGACACCTCTGATTGTTAGTGCAATGGTTTGTTTTTTTAATAAAAATGGTTTTAATGATACTGCACCATGAGCATTTCTTCTCTTGATTCCCGAGTAATGTTCTGAGTATATGAAGAGGCGGTGACCATAAGGAAATATTCCACATTTGCTGAGTATCCTCCTGCAGAGTATTGCTCCCAGACCATACGAATATTGCTGATGATTCTCTTGCAGAGTATTGCTCCCAGAGCAGAAAGCGCTTATGCTGATTTATAATTTGATCACCATATTGCTCTAGTGAGTTCATTCAATTTATCTGGTGGTGGATTTTTTTACAGTGAATTTGTTTGGACACTGAGATACTTATTTGATAATAATTATCGTTTGAAGACACAAAGAAAAAGATCATCCTTTATTGGTGTTTGGACTTTGTTTGACACATATATATTTGTATATATCTTTCACAATTTATTTGGACACTATTAATTATTTTATATGTTTAGGCATTGTGGATATATTTATATTTGGTTGTATAATATGAGCGCAAACCTGTTTTTTCATTGTTCAAATCTTGTAACATTTTGGTTACGTAGTTTTTAGCTGACTTGCTAGATAGAGTTCTGGGAAATTATTGTATTGTTTCCCCTTTCTCCCTCTATGTAATGGTTGGGGCTTGAGCAGTAACTAAGGGCAGTGGGGGCGTTATGAGAGTCATTAACCTTGTGTGGTTAGATTGTAGCATTCAGTTGTCTTGTTCGCTTTTCTCTGGTAGATGAACAGGGTGGTGAGCCAACAAACTTAAAGTACAGTAAGTATTAACAGCAGTGGAAATAGGAAAAGTAGTAGACCTATTGCTTTGTCCGGTGTGGGCAAAGCAAAGATTTTATCAAATACTTTAAATTTTTTTGCTTCTGTTTCATAAATATAATTTTTTATCTCTCATTCTCTCTTATATTTTCAAACACAAACATGTTTCTACTTTTAATTTTCTGGTTTTAGGATCCTGTGTATGGAAAAGGAAAGTTGGGAGAAATCCAAGGCTTGGTCTTAGGAATGCTTGACACCTTTAGCTATGAGCAGGTAAGGATATTGCCAAAAAAAGGGATTTTTTTGGTGTTGATCATATGACACTCATTTAGCTATAAACAACAAACATATTACAGAGCATTGCAAATGCATAAGAGACAATCACTGTTAATTATATTAACACAGTAAATGAATTTCAAATCATGTCCCTATTAAAATAAAATCACATTTGGCCTATGATTATTGTTTAAAACTAGCTGTAGTTCTTTAATAAAATATACAGCAAGTATAAAATAAAAATCACATTCATTAAGACTGTATTACAGGGAAAATGCTTTATTTAGCTGAAAATATTTTTTGGAAAAAGAGTTGTGAGAGGCATGCATTAGATCATTAAATAATAAGCATATAATTTCAACTGATTTAACATACTTTAACTGATTTCAACTGATTTAACATACTTTGTTGAGCTTTGCATTACAGTATTAAAAAGATATTCAAGTAAACAATGTCAAAAATAAAGTTATGTCCATGCACTTAACCCAACCCCCCCCCCCCCCATATTCCACTCCCCCAAACAAGTTTTAAGCCTTCACACACAAATGTAAATGCATCCATTAGAGGGGAGAGGGTAGTGTTAGATTATGGATTTGGAGGGACAGAGCAATGATGCCATGATCTCCATGTCATCCAGTCCGAGAACGCTTTGCATTCACTGTGAAAATGTAAAGAGTTCTCTGAATAGTGCCTGTGCTGAGCAAGCGATCCCCTGTGTTCACTAAGCAGCAGGGCAGCAGCTTGGCATGGGGCCTGAAAGCTAGCAGCAGTCACTGTAGTAGCGATGCCTACTACCATGATTTCTAGCTTTCAGGGGGATATTCCATGTATGAAGCATGCATACTTATGTTTTGGTGTCAATTCTCATCTGACAATGACATTTCCATGCCTTGTGTAATGCCAGTTATGCATGTACTGTCACGTAATGATTTTTCAACTTAGTCTTCTGTGTTATAGACCCTGCTGGAAACCACCACAAGCTTGCTGAACCAGGACTTACACTGGTCTCTGCGTAACCTCAAAGCTTCTGTTACTAAAGCTCTTGCCCCAAAACAGGACCACTGCTGCATCTGCCTTCAGCAGTACAAGAAGAGACAAGAGGGTGCAGATGAGATCCTCATTTTCAGGTCATTTTCTTTTGTTCACATTTAATGGTACAAATTTAGTTACTTCAAGGAAGGGCCACGTACAGGAAGTGTAAAAACAGATTATGAAATAATATCTGTAACCATTCATTGTATCCAGAACAATGTCACTCAGGCAAACATTACATTATATTTAGAGAAGGCACCATATTTGTTCATTACATATGCAGGGTCTGCTTTCTACTTAGCAGTACTGAAGTTACTGAGCTTCACTGCTCCTCTTTTTTTTCAGCGCAAGACTGCAGGTCAGGTAAGTTATTATCAGCAGATGATCACTAGAGGGAAAATTTTCAAATGCATATATCAAATACAGTAATTAAAATATGAGGCGATTTGAAATGGCTGAGACCTAAAGCAGCAAGACTGTATAAGAAATATTATAATGACATTTGAGGTCCTAGCTCAAGAACAATTGAGCTTCAATGGGTTGGGTAACATCAGACCTATAGCTAGCTTCTCAATATTTTTCATTTCAGTTTGAAATTCAATAGGTTGCTTTCTTGTATTATGTTTACAGCCTTGGGATAGAATATTTGTCAGGTGTATAAATATTGGTACAAATGATATGTGACATTTCCTATTCTGTTAGAAGCAAGGACACTTGTGGAAGCTCATTATGGGGATTTCAAGCTTTGTGACAGCAATTTCTGCTATTATTATAGATTAATGTGATTGCCTGGAATTTCTCTCTTGTGTTGTGATTTACGTGAATTAGATTTGGCAATTTGTTTAGCTTTTATGCTTGTATTGTTGTGACTCAGCTCAATTCAGATGAAAAAGTCCCAGAGGCATTTCAATAGCATTTCAGGCAGAAAGAGCAGCTTAGAGGAAATGTCACTGCTTTTAACGTCACTTGTCCTTGTAACTTTTCACTACTGACCTTATCTACCTGTGCCTTGGGGTGCAGAATTAAATCATAAGCTTGTGAAGTTCATTTATAGTGTTTTTATTAGAAGTGATTGGAGTCATGCAGGATGCTGCGTTTCTGTTCTGCATATATGCGGTATACGTTTTTGGTGCATGACTGGGCACAGAGACATGCTTCCTATTTAGGCATATATTAGGGCTTCTGCCTGACTGCTACTTTACTGACCTTGCCACCAACATTGTACTTGAAGTCAATACTAATAAAGGGAAAAATACATTTAAAAAATGCAATTACAACTTTATATTACTACCCTTGGTCTCTCTAATATGCAACCTTATAGTGATTTAAAAAACTCAGTGGTTTTATTTTATTGTTTGTTTTTGTTTTGTTTTTTTAATAACAAACATGTTATACTTGCCTGCTCTGTGTAATGGTTTTGCACAGAGCAGCCCTGATCTTCCTCTTCTCTAGTCTCCCACCAGTGCTCCTGGCTCCTCCCCCCTGCTGAGTGCCCCCAGAGCAAACTGCTTGCTTTGGGGGCACACGTTAATGCTTGCTCCCGAGCCCTGCCCCCCCCCCACTCGCTCCTCGCTAGCTGTGATTGACAGAAGTGGGAACCAATGGCTCCTGCTGTTGTGTTGCAGCTAATGAGGAGAGAGAGACCCAGGAGCACTGTCCCGTGCACAGTGCTGGATTGGGCTTAGGTAATTACTAAAGGGGGCTGTGGGGAGAACAGCACACAGAAGGTTTTTATTTTCATGCATAGAATGCATGAAATTAGAAAACCTTCAGCCTTTACAACCACTTTAAAAGTATTTAAAGTCTAACTCCAAGCAAATATAAGACACAAGTTAATGCAGCGTTGCAATAATTAATAGATCATTAAAGTTATTTTTGAATATGTAACACAATTTAAAAACATGAATGTCAAAAGATAAACTAAAATTGTCCTCATGCCTTTGTAGTTTTCCCACAGGTTGTACGTACACCAGTAGTGTCTGCCTTTTGTATATTTTTTAAAAAGTTATGTAGCATCTATTTAGAAATATTCTATTTGGCAGTTCTTGTGCTAGACCGTTTCATGAGAATCGATTTATGAATGTTGAATCAATTACAGTTGTCAGCACAAAATAATCTATACAGAATACATTTCACATGGATATGCTTCACGACGACTTAGTAGAGGCTTAACAACTTCATGAAAGCTCTATATATCTATATCATATATTCAGACTTTTTAGCTGACCAATGAGAACATGCTTGGCATGTTCCACTTATAAGTCAAACAGAAATTAACAAAATAAATTTGATAAATCTGGACCTACTACTGTGTGTTCATGTTTTATGAAAATCCACATGTATCTATCACATAGCTTCACCGTCATAGGCGCTATCAGGTAAATTACATGTTTTATTGATTTGTTTTCTTTTTTGGTGAAAAGACATTGTCACAAACTGCAGGTAGAAAATCTACAGAATACTTATTTATTTACATTTTAATGCATAATATCTATTTATTTGATTTATCATTGGCACACACTTATAGGCAGCACAATAAAAAGACAGGCTCAGGTGCAGTACCCATTAATAACAGAAATTAAAAGCTCAAACATATTGCACTTACAAACAATAACTTGTGCATGACATGTGATCCCAAACACATCGCCGATATACAAGACAACCCGGTCCTCTCACAATCTCCGGGGTAAAGCTCTTGTGACAGTGTGGATGGGATGGTGTACCCATACTACTTCCAAGCATCCTCCTCTCTCCCCTCCACATACACTGACAGGTCTCCATGACAAAAACACTTCTGGCAGCCGGGAAAACCGGTGTCACCCTCTCTAGCATTTGGGATGAGGGGCAGGATGCTGATTAAGTGACAGTGCCATTGCTATGATGATGCGTTTCAGAGGGCGTGGCCTTCTTTATCAAGTCAATCCAACACTCAATAAGCTGTCTTAAGTAGCCAACCTGGGTCTTCCGGGAAATTAACCCCAAATTAACTCCCAATGGGCTGGGCTGATGCTGGATTTGGGTGTCTACTAGTAACTCACAGACCTAGAACTGCTTATCTTACAGTATATGTCTCTACTATCATTAAATAGCAGCTAAAAACAGTTGCATGTACACAATTGGCATCTGTTACATTATATACACTATTTTCCATAATAAGACCAATGATGTGAATTATTTAAAAGCACAAGATAAAAAAGACAAAATTAAAAAATTAGAAAATCAAAGAGATGGAGATTATACGATATTGGAAGTAACTGATATAAAAAGGGGGAAGGGAAAGGAAAAGGGGGAATGAATTAAAGCTTCAAAGATATCTCAGGGGATACAAGAGGCTACCTAAAGAATGGTACCGATTTTCAATTCCTCGTTGAGTCGCCCTGAAGCCATAGTATCTAAGATGAAAATCCAAAATGTCTCCCTTTGACATAATTTAGCAAACTTCTATACTTCTGGCAACTGCATGGAAATAGCCTCAATTCCAAACAGTTGTAACCCGAAGGTATCCTCATTATGATGATTTCTAAAATGACGAGGTTTCTCAATGAGTCTCCAGTACTCAAACCTGGCACACATGGTACAAATTGTACGGCCTACGTAGTATAGCCCACATGGGCACCTCAGACCATATACTACAAATTGGGTATTACACGTTATGAATTGATTAATTTCTACCAGCAAATGTTTTTGTCTATGCGTTATGAAAGCACAGGCTTTGCATTTAATTTCAATACTTCGTTATTGAAGAATTTGCAAATATACAGAAACACAGCACCTCTACAACTGCAGAGGAGAAATATAGAAAAAAAAGAAGGAAGAAAAATATATAGAAAATAGGATTAGCCTCACAGGACATTTTTGTATTAATACATCTACAGATGATAGGGCGGCTTTAGCTATCTATAAATAGACACAAATAGTATTACATCAGTTCAAGAGCTGGTGCAGGGTGTATCCGTAGTTTTATTATTCAAGTACCAGATCTTCCAATATGTCCAAGCATTATCAAAGGATTGTAGTGTGTCTAATCTAGAAGCTAACAGTTTTCCAAAAGAGTATATGAACTAGGTTATAGAGATTACTTCTGACAACTTGGGTGCCTGTTCTTCCCTCCAGTGCCTAGTGATAGTCAAACGAGCAGCTAGTAAAATGCAGGTAATCACTTTGCGGTATATAACAGGAAATTCATCTCCTCTTAGGCTTGAGATTGCTAAATAAGGTTTGGGGTTAGTCAGGACTCCTGTGACACTGGAGAGGAGTCGGAACACGCTTCGCCAAAAGCTCTGTAGATTTTTGCATGTCCAAAAGATGTGGAATAAATTAGCCACTTGGCTGCAGCCTCTCCCAACAGAGGGGAGAACCTCCTGGTGTAAAATGAACTATACTATATGGAGTAACGTACCATCTAGATATGATCTTTTGTGTAATTTCCCAATAGTTGACACAGTGGGATATAGCATAAGAATATCTGAATGCATGTACCTATTGTTTCGATGTATATGAATGTTGGAGATCTTTCTCCCACGCCATAATGGGGCCAGATTTGTGGAATGACAGTTTATTTTGAAGGAAGGTGTAGAAAAAGGCAATACCTTTGGCAGAGTGAGATGAGTTATTATAAAATTGCCATATTTTGGAGTCTATTTGTAGGGGTGGGGGGGGGGTGAAGTCAGTAGGAACTGTTGAATACTAAATAGTTTAAAAATTACCAACAATGGAAGATTGTGTCCCTTTTTGTATATCTCTTAAACTTTTAAGTTTGTCGTCCATATATAGATCTGTCACATTGCTTAACCCATAGTGAAACCAGTTGGTTAACGCAAAGTGAGGAAGGAAAACATTTAGAACATCAATGGGTATCATGATATCAGCAAAGGATAAAGTGGTTTTCTGATAATGACAAGCCTCCATGCCAGTAGCGAGGCTTTAACAGTAATAGGCATCTTATCTAATGGTAATGGAGACCAAGTATCTCCTATTAGTAGAAGTTATAAATTGTGAGTCGGAGTGGCTGCTGCTTCTATATCTACCCATAAATGTTCTGATGAAGGAAGAAACCAGTGTTTTGATTTGTGCCATCAAAGTGGTTGGATAATAG